CTCTCTCTCTCTCTCTCTCTTCCAGCCCGAGGCAACTACCCCGCCAGTGTCCCTGTCGGGAAGGCCGGTGGGTCCAAGTTTCGGCGTGTTGACTTAGTCAGGCCTTCGCTGCTTCGTGACTTAGTGGCCAGTGGATCAAGCAATCCAGGAGGGCTGCAGCGGTAATGAGCAATGAGCAGCCAGCAAGTCAAACTGCAATGCCATTACTATTGGAAGAGGCGAACCGTGACACCCAACTTCGCAAGAAAGTCGCTGCAGGGCTTTCCAAAACCGGGAACGCCTGGCAACGACTGGCGGCGCGAATGGCGCGGAGAAGAACCGAGTCGAAACCCCGACATGTCTTGAGGATTTGGGGTCCAGGCTAGTGGAGCTCATTATGTGTGTGTGTGTGTGCGCGTGTGTGTGTGTATGTATGTATGTATATGTATATATATATATATATACAGATAGTAGCGACGAAGACAAAGTGACTTTGTAGGGACCCCGATATGCTAGGTCCTGCTGGGTTTGTTCCTGTATTGGGCCAAGGCAGCTTCCGGGTTGCCAACTTGGTTGTCAAAGCGACGATAGCAATCTAGCGGAAGAGAAGACTTGAGGAACAACCTGTATAGACGGGACGTAAACCCGAAACCTTTGGATTGTGCATGGGTCCCGAAGCTTTGGAATCCTAGCTGCCCTGAGCGAACCAAGGACTGAAGAGTGCGGAGGAGCACTGGAACCCGCGGTCCCTGAATGGCTCGAGCAAAGGTGCCGCGAGGGGAGGGGGGGGGGGACGGGGTGTTAGGACCGTTACAACTAAGATGGAACATGAAGAGGGCGAACATTGCCAACATGTAATCCGTGATGGTTTCCATCCTAGTCGGAAGGCAGCGGGAACAGCATCCGACATGAGCATGGGTACACAGTGTGGAAGCCAGCGCGCACTTTTTTGCGAGCGAGGTCGTCAATTCAACTGCATGTTGTGAAATCGGCGTACTCGAAGATGTTAGCACTGGCCTTGCTGCCGAGAGTGCCATGGGCCGGTCGAACATCTGAGACAGCCCCTGTCCCCAGTAGCCTCTATACTTCTAAGTAGCCTCGAAAGTTCCCTAGGAATTAGAGGGTTGAGGTAGTAAGTGAATACAGTGTTCAAGCCTTAAAGCTGCACCCTTCTCGACCCGAAACCCACAGCTCTTTCGGAAGGCAAGGGCAAGGGAAAGAAGGGTGGCAAAGATGCCAGGAACTCGGGCTCGGGGCTTTTATTCTAGTCTCCAAAGCGCTAGGTCGATGCTTCTTCGAGGTTTCCGGCTTGTTTAGGCGATTGATGGCATGCAGTATACAGCTCCATTCTGCGATAGAAGGAGGTGCTGTGAAGGCTTTGGGCCACACACGGCACTGCCTTTTGGTCCACTGTGGGCCACAAGGCTTGGTTTGTTTCTGTAGCAGCTGTCTCATCAATGAATCAACTGTACGCTGCGTCTGTTGCTGGGGCCTGCTGGGGCCAGTCCGTCCGATTGTGTTGTTTTTTGAGCCCTTTCGCAGCATTTGGCTTCTGGGCCCTATGCAAATACAGCAATTAGAGGGCTCAAGCAACGCGCAGCAGATCCTGTTGATCGAGTTCCAGGCCCGACAGCTGCTTCCACAAAAACAGCCTTTAGGGTTTAGGGGTTTATAGGGGTTTAGGGTTTGAGGTCATTGCTTTGTGCTTTGTAGCACACTGACATCGTCCCCGGGATTCGTGCGCGATGGCCGTGAAGAACCTGGATGAGGCTCGGACTCGGGGCCATCGTTTTTGGGACGGATGAGTCGCGAGGTCGGCAAACCTTATAGGTAATTTTGATATGATCAAAGCCAAGAGCACAAGGTAGGAGGTTCCAGGCGAGGTTGTCTTTGGGTCCTTGGCACGGTGGGCATTCCTGAAGGGTACTTTCAATGGAGCAGTCAACTAATCCCTGCAAGACCGCATGGAAAACCCTACAGTGTATAAGCCCTCAGCCCAGGCCTTTGTGCGCAGTGCGAGGAATCAGAGGGTGATGATTCGTAGCCCAACGGAACAACCCCAAGGTCGTGGATCTGCTGGGCGAGAATGCCGAGGCGCAGCCCCAAGGGTTGGAAGGGAAACCACTTTTCCGTAACGAACTTGTGTCAAGGCCGACCCTTTTCTCCGATCTGGGGCCGGAAGCACATGGGATCTTTAGCGGTAGGCGTGGTGATTGTGCCTGTTTAACTGGTAAGGTGGGTTTGGTGACATGTAAGGGTGTTCAAGTTGAGTCCTCCTCACAGATATAGAAGGGTTGTTGTAAAAGAAGTAAAGGAGATCCAGGACGCCCGGATGCCCTTTGTGAGGTGAGCGTCGTGGGTCGAACTGCCTTCATGGTGGCGGCTGAAAGGGCCCTTGAGACAGACCTTGGAAAGGACAGCTCGCAGACCCAACTTCCAGCGCATGTCTTCTAGCAGTGGGCGTGGCATCAGCTGATATGTGTGGAGCTTGGGGCCTGGGTCGGTCATTATATGTATGTATACATGTATACACATGCAGTATCATGCCTTCATGCCTCGTGCTGTGAGTGCCTTGTGCTGTTGCTCGGGAGGATGCCTTGTTCAGCGATCCCTTTGCCAAAGTACTTGCAGGGAAAGACGGCCGCGAGCCATGTCAGAATCACTGTCGGCTTCAGCGACCTACATAGGAGAAGTTTGGTGTCGGGATACATCTGCGAAAAAATCGAAGGGCCGGAGGTCTTGGCGGGTCTCTGGGTCTTAAACGCTCAAGGCCGCAGTTGGTGCAGTGTCCTGAGTTTCAGATATACAAATATTCCAGATCATAACATTTCATAAAATTATACTATACTACAATGATATTTCCCATGACGTAACCATTATATATATATATACACATACATACATACATACATATATATATATATGTATGTATGTATGTATGTATGTAGATATGTGTATAGAAAAATACACACATACATACATGCATGCATGCATGCATAGAGAGAGAGAGAGAGATGCACACACACACACATATATATATATTTATTTATTTACACATACATAGTATGTAACTGTATATACTTGTAAAACACTGCCGGCAGATACCAAGGAGATGTCCGACAAGCTTGGAGAAGCTGCGGCACAGTTCGGCTTTGAGAATTGGCCGGAGTTTCACAAGGCAGGATTCATAAAGGGCCTCTAGGGTTTAGGGCCAGGGGTTTAGGAATTTTGGGGTTTGGGGCTTCGGGCTTGGTGGTCTAGTCAAGTCTTCCATGAAATCCACTCTTGCATTCGCGTCGTAGAAGGCATAAGGATGAACATGTGCGTTAGGGCAGAAAATCATGACACAGTCGTGTTGATATATTTGCCCTTCTGAGCTGTGCTGCTGTTGATGTTGTTGATGGTGATGGACGCTGTGTCGTCCATCTGCATTAAAACTGCCATCACTAATGTGGTCAAGATGTCAAATTGTCGTGTCACCCGAAGCAGCGGATTGCTGATGAAAGACCTTGCTTCGTAACTCCTGTCACCGTTGTGGCAGCCTGAGGTGTGGACAGTGGTAAGAACAAAGTTTATCGACGACATCATCGGTGCCCAAGAATGAACTAATCATACTGGTTGTGTCTTGGTGTTACTGCTTGGTTTGCAGTTGCAGGTTAATTTGTTCCAAGCAACCTTTGTGTGCCTAGGGCCTAGTAGTTGCCTGGCTGTGAATGTCCGGGATCTCTCTCTCTCTCTCTTTCTCTCTCTGTCTATCCCCCAAGCAGATGCACCAAGGTATTCTCACGGATCAGAAGCAGATGGTGAACCTGGGGGCCGGCGTCGACACCCGACCCTATCGTCTTGAAGCAGCTGGACTAGATCAAGCAGCCCCAAACCTCATCTATTGACTGCTTATCTGCATCGTGCTGGTTTGCGGGTAACCATGAAGATTGGGACGGTGTTCAACATCCCTGAGTGCTTGCAGAGTGCCTTTGCAAGTTCTGTAGAATGGCGACACCGGACAGCTGCCCAGCCTCGACACCTCCATCGCAGCACCTCAAAGTTGGGCCCCAAGACCCAAAACCCGGGAGAGCCGAAATCCCGAAATTTTGCCGAAGCTCGCGAGCCCTGGCAGATCCTTGCAGGGGTACTCCAAGCTGAAGGCCTCGTACGAGGTCGATACGCCCGAGGTGACGCTTTGTCTTCATAGGGCCTTCATCTTTCTGCCTACGTAGTTGCACGAGTGCGCGACGACCCAAAAGTCCTCGTTCCGCTGGATGTGCAGCCCAGGTGAAGGGCGAAAATAGACTGAAGCAAGCCCTTATGGACCAACTCTTGAATGGATCCGACCATACACCCTAAACCCTAAACCCTAAAGGTTTTTTAAAGTGTGCGTATGCGGTACTCGAATCCTCGCCTGGCTTGTCCTAGTCGTGAGTGCTGAAAGGAAAAAACCCTAAACACCAGTTTAGCTGTCCAAGCCCTTACCTTCCCGTCCCGAGGAATGCAGTGAAGACCGCGGTGTTCGAACGACTCGGGGCGACGCCTTTCTGCCCAGTCGTCACAGTCTCTGCAGACTTCCGTGTTGCAGGCTGGGCCTTTAGTCGAAGATAGACGCGACATAAACATGTAACAAAAGGGAGACTAGGAGTGATTACGGATGGATGGTAACGTCATACTAATAATCATGTAATCATCCGAATAGTTTGTAGGTCTCCGTATAAAGAATTTATATATATATATACACACATGCAGAAACATCTCCATCTTCTTATTTGTCTACCTGATTCGGCTTTTGATTTTCGCTTACCGCATCCTGGGGTTGGCTCAGAGCCAGTCTGTGGCCCCAAGATCATCCATGTGCGAAGTCTGTGGTAAAATGCAACTTGACGGAGTTTGCAGGTTGCGTAATGCAACTACCAATACTTAAGTAGAGACATACAGCAAAACCTGGCCGAGTTCACAAATGTTGTTTCGGAACATAAAATATACATACCACTTTCGATAGTGATCTCGATTTGCGGGACCCCTTTGAAACCTGGACGGGTTTCGAAAACGTCAAAGCACGAATGCCTCGTCGAGATTGCCATGAGGGAGCCAAAACAATACTAGTAGTAGTCCGGCTGATTGGATGGGGCTCCGGGTTCAAAAAGGTTACTATACTTATAGTATACTCATACTCAATACGCTTCAGTGCATGTCGACAGGGCCTTTGGAGTTTGAGTTGAAGCTTGCCAGGGGGGGAAGAGCCCACAGGCTCCCTCGGAAGAAAAGCAAGCCCGATCCTGGCACGCAGGGGAGTTGGCTCGCAACCTCGCGCGGTCGGGCTTCGACGAGCAGGCTCAATTTCAGCCATCAGGGGCCTCTCGTTTCATGAACTTCCGCCCCATGTTAAGCGCTCTTGTTTAGTGGCTTCCTTTGGGCCATATCGGCACCCCAGCTAAGACTATTCCGGAGGTAGCGTCCGTCTTCCTCATCGAGGGGGTCCTGGACTTTCTGGAGGATGCCGCGACGCCTTTCTTGAGCGAGGCGGCAAGGAACGACATGCATTTGAGAGTTCACGGGTGCCCTTAAATGATCCTAGGTGAGGAGGTTTGTGCCTTAAGGCTCTGACTGCGTGGATATATCTCTATCTCCATCTCTCTCCCTCTCTCGCTCCCTCTGCTCTCCTCTCGATATCCGTGTGTCTTCCACTCTATGACTCCTCTATTTTCTATGGCAAATACCCAGTTTCTGATGATGTAAGTTTCTACGCTGCCTCTTACTCTTTTTTTGGAAAGGTACAGGGGGCTGCTGCCATATGATCTACAGGAGTGGATACAGCGCAACCGCAACGCAGGTGTCCAAGATGGCAGCACCTGGGTCCCTGGCCGTGATCAACTACGCGATCGGGCCGCCAAGGTGGGCGGCGGTGCTTGCGGTGCATCCATGGGCCCCAGAACCATTTGCGAGTTCATTGTTGGGTTGATGAAGGCTCGGCTGAGGGTCTATTTCCGGTTCTTTCGTGATAAGGGATTTGGGAGTCTCCAGGCGCATGGAACAGGTAGCCGTAACAGAGCATGCGCCGTTCAGTTTGCATTGCCACCTGCCCAAAATCTAACCCACCTTCGCTCCGTCTTCAGTTTCAGTCTGAAGCTATGTTGGGCTGTGGCATCCTTGCAGTTCAGAGTAGGTATCACTGAGCTCCACCACCAAGGACATGTTATTTTGTGGATTGTTTTGCCCGGTTGCAAGCAGTGGAAACTCCTAAATGCCGACACCCTCTTAAGACTTGGCATGGCAAGACCGAGAGTGATCGCCGAAGCAATCAGGCCTTCACGAGAGAGAGAGAGAGACAGATATATATATGTATATATATATATATTTATTTATTTATTTATTACTATATTATATTATACATTATCTTATATATTATATTATATTATATTATATTGTATTGTATTATATTATATATAACATCACTTCTTCAACCCTCTCCCTACAACAGAAAAGAAACCCGAAACCAAAACTCATTGACTCGAGAGCCTACACCGCAA